CCTGCTGAAGCGGGCTGACCGGTCTGGGCCTGCCCTGCCCAGGCTTCTGGGGACATACAGTTCCCTCCCATCTAAGATCGCTGAGTCAGGGCTCTGCCCCTCGCAGCTGGCACATACGGGCAGCGCTCACGATCGACACAAAGCACAGACCTCTCAAGAATGTCCAGATTCCAGTGAGTTCTCCACGACAAAGACCTCGTTCTGCTCACACGGGCTGGAGGCAGGAATCTCGCCGACTGCACAAATAGTGTGCGCTCCTGGGGCCGTCTGGCTCTGCCCGCTTTCCCGGTCTCGGGCCGCCGTCCCACCTGGAAATGCCATGAGGAGCCCACGTGTGCTTCTTCAAAAGTATCTAAAGCATCCTTTGTAGCTCTTCGGCATGGCTCCTTACCGGTGTCGTTGAAACGTATACCCTAGCTTTCCAACCACAGGGACAGCGCCTGGCTAGGAAATGCATCTGTTTTTTCCATTTTGTAAGTTTTTCCATTTATTATTTATTTACTTATTTATTGTTAGAGAGAGATTTCTGCTATATGCACTCGCCAGAGAGACAGCGAGATCTCCCCACCCCACCCTGGGCGGCGGGGGGATGGCCGTGCTGCAATCCATTCTCCTCTTGGGCACGCGTGCACAGCACTGGGCGTGGAACTCATGCACACGCACTGGGCGAGTGTTAAGCCGCCGGGTCCGGTACTCGCACCGCAGTCGACCACGTGGGCGTCCAGCAGTAACCACTGAGCCACCTGCATCGCTGTTCCTCTTCTAACCTCACTCGCACCAGATTCCACACAGCTCCATCTTCGCGTACCGCTCCAGGGATAAACCACTCTGAAGGCACGGGCATTTCAATTAAATAGATTTATTTAGAAAGAAGGCTTAAAAATTTGACATTAAAAGAGATAAAAAGACCCACAGGATTTAAATTGACAAATACAAAAAATGATTGGCTATAAACCATGTAAAACCATATAAAACATTCCCCAGTCCCCAAACAGAACATAATTTAAGTACAGTAATAATAAAAGTGTTGGACTATAAGCACGCTTCCCTTCGCATCCTGAAGAACCATTCTAACAATGTATAAAATACGGCACGTTAAATTTATTCTAGCTGTTCATAAAAAGTTATTTGAACTCTGAGTTTGAGTGTGCCCTTTCCTGTACCCAACGGTGGCTTCTGGTCCCGGGTTTTGTGACCTTATTTACAATTGTCTTTTCACTTCTATTTCCTTCTACAATAGAAATGAGGTTAACCAGTCATGTCCCGTTAGAAACGGCGTGAAGGAAGGGCCTAAGAGTACCGCAAATGCCAATGACCACGTTTGTCTTCCTGAAAAGGAACGGATTAAACGGCCATCGAAGGGCACACTTTTGTACCAGTAAAACAAATGGAGGTGGACCCCCAGGACAGGCTGCTTCAGCTTCACGCCCACGAGCCGTGTGCGAGGCCAAGTGAGAGCGGGTCTCCCGGGCCAGCAGGTGGTGAGGAGGTTAAGGCGGCTGGATCCCTCAAAGGTGACTGCTGGGTTTGCGTCCCGGACCCAGCTGCTTGAAAACCATGCTGGGAGCGTGCATGTGCTTGCCCCAAATCCCGAGAAGAGAACTGAGATGGGACTGCCAGGAGGCCGGCCATTGCCCCAGGGATGCTTTCTCACTTAAACCCCTTCCCCCACACCTCTCTCAGGAGAGCAGATATGCCCGATAGCAAAACTTAAAAAAAAAAAAAAAAGTCTGTCTGTCAATCTTGACCGAGCCCACACTAGGGTAGACCCTGAGGTAGCCCGAGTGGTTTGCTATGACTTCCAGCGACAGTGACATTTAATATGACGATGACACAGCTCAATACAAGCTCTAAACACTACTTATCCGTGAATCAGTCCTTATCCTCAGACCCAAGACCCAGCTGGTCCTCCTCTCTCAGATGGCCCGCCCGGTAAAAGCAGCATCCAGATGGTTTCATCGTCTCCCAAGTGGGCAGAGGCGGCATCCCCGGGGGCCTCAGTCCGGCATCCGCATCCCGATACCAACGGCAGGGCCCGCGTGCCAGAGGCCGCGCCTGGCCGTACCGACCAGTAAAAGACCCACACCAGCCACGGCCACGCAGCAGAGCCAGCTGGGACACGAATGGTACCCGAGACACTGAAAGAGGAGCGTGCCCTTACATGGTATCTCTGGAGACATTTAAGGATCCCATTGTTCGGGCCTGGGAGGCCTCGCCAAGGCGGTGGGGGACCTGACCTCTGGGCTCGTCACCTTGACTGGGGAGTCTCAGTCACAGTTCCAGCAGGAGGAAAGGAAAGGTCTAGCCTGTGAGCCCCGGGCACACATCTACACTACGGCCCCGTCTGGTTCGAAGGCTGCCCGACAGCAGCAGATCCGTCCTCCAGATGGTCAGAGCGAGGCACAGAGAACGGGAACGGTCTGACTACCCCCTTCTCCACCACCATGATGCACCTGGACGGGGTTCTCCGGGTATTCACTCTCTTAAGGTCGGCTCCTCCAAAGAAAAAATAGAACCATGTCTACGAGGGCAACAGGATGCTGAAGACCCGTCTACACACTCGTCACAAGTAAAACGGCCCGAGCAGGCTGGCCTCGTGGCCTAGTGGTTAAGGGAGCTGGATCCCACAGGGCCAGCTGCAGTTTGAATCTCAACTCCTGTGCTTATAACACATACCAGGTACATGTGCGTGCATGCCCCAAATCCTGATGGGCTGGCAAAACAAAGAGGGGGTCTCCCTTTCTCTCCTGCCTCTCTCTGGTGAGTGAATGCAACCTCAGGAATAAAAATGGGGGGAGGGGGCAAGATTCTGGAGTATCGAAAGATGAGTGACAGTAAGAAAGGGTAGGTGAATGGTGGTTAAGGCTCTGGACTCCCACACGGTCAACTGTGGTTCGAGTCCTGGACCTGGTGACTTGAAAATCATACTGGTTGTATGTGTGTGCATGCCCAAAATCCCGAGAGGAGCTCGGAGAAGGGACTGCGGTGTGGCCGTGCCCCCAGGGGGTGATTTCTCACTTTCCCTCTCACTGTCTCTCTCTGGCAAGAGCATGTGCCCTATGGCAGAAACCTAAAACAATAAAGAGTAAGAGCCAGAGGCCCACCTCTGCCAGGGGATGAAGTGGCAGAGAATCCCTCTAGTAAGGAGACAGAAAGGGAACATCTTGAGGAAGTGAAGAGTCAAAGGACAAGACTGGCTCTGAAGAAAACACGAAGAGGACCTGCAGCTTTGTACTAAGTAGAAACAATCATGTGCAGGCCCGGGCCCATGGCCCAGTGGTTAAGGAAGCCAGGTCCCACATGGCCGAGCACATATTTCAAATCCTAGCTCTGCCAGCTTGAAAAACACGCCAGGCGTCTGTGCATGTGTGCCCCAAATCCGGACAGGATGGAGAAATGGAGGAGGAAGGGCTGCGGCACGACCATGCCCCACTGGGGGGGTTTTCTCCCTCTCCCAGTCTCTCTGGCGAGTATGCGCCCTCCACTGTGTAGGTGGGTAATCGTAGCTAACAAGGGAATGGGCCGTCTTCTAACGCCTGGCACGGACTCGTCTATTAAGACACTCGGTAAGTGGTGGAAGCCGATTTTTATAATTACGTTCACTATAGTTGGAGAAAAGTCTATCTTTTTTACATCTTTGGTCCTTAGACATTTCTTCAATTTTTCTATATATAACATAATAATCTCTTCTTTTTTAAAGTTGATATCAACAATCAAAGTGCAGTAACAAACATTAGGCTGACCTTGTGGCTTTTACACACACAAAATGCCAAAATCTCCCAGACATTTTAAATTAGACGATACAAAGTTCTCAGAAAGAGTTACTAAGAGTTCTAAAATGTTACAATATAATTTTAAGGCTGAGTGAGGTACAGTAAAGCCTGATATTATAAAGAAAAAAAACAAAAACCCTAGACCAACATTTTAAATATTAATCTCCTAAATATATGTGAATTTCTCATTAACAGAATGTAAGCTAATCATCAAAACAACCTAAAAGCTAAGCAAGTTAATTTTGAAATGAAACAATTTCTACATGCTTGAATATAATCATGCTGCTCACACAGCTATAAAGCATAATTTAAAGCTGAGCCTAGTTAACAGAATGTTCTAGAATGATAGAAACATTATCAGTCGACCTCTGTAGTTTTTAAAGAAACTGTCTTCCCCTCCTGAAAAAAATGAAACAAAGTTTCACTTGAGATATGTTTTAATCATTATTCAAAAAATTAAAAAGAAACTTCTCTGGCCTAATTTGTGGGGACTGGCAAACAGACCACGGTGGATAAAACCATCTTCCGCCCTTCCCTCTGCTGTGCGAACGACATGGTGTAACCAGTTTTACACAGATCCCACGAGAGCTCCTGCCAGGGCCCAGGCGCCACAGCCCTGAGCGGCCGCTACCTTTTGGGACAGCTGCTCCCGCGTCTACGCATTCAGGGGCTCAGTCAGGGTTTCTGTCCTACTGGTATTCTCAGTCTTCCTGAGCGGAGATTCCTTTCGCTTTTCAAGGCACATAAAGACAAAGTCAAACAGGAACATAAAACTTGCTATAAATCCGAACACCTGAAGAAGACAAGGGAGGGAGGTTATGTGAGGGATTTGGGAACGTAAGCTCACACGTGCTCCTAGGTTCTGAGTTTCTGTGTTTCATACAGCACATCGGTTTTATCTTGTACACACTACTCCTAACTTCAATGGCAAATTTTTGTAAAAGTCACCAAAAAAAAGAAAAAATGGAGGGACCAGCAATTAGTGTAATGGCTATGTTGCTGGACTCTCTACGTAGTCGACTATGGGTTCAAGTCCCAGACCCGGTGCCTTAAACTCACACCGGGTGTGTGTGCGTGCGTGCCCAAGATCCCGAGAGGAGAATGGAGGAGAAGGGATTGCGGCATGGCCATCCCCCCTGGGGGGTGATTTCTCGCTTTCTGTCTCTCTGTCTCTCTCTGTCTGGCGAGCTCATGCGCCGCACTCTACAGCAGAAACCTCTCCCCCCTACCAAAAAAAAGGAAAGTTACAAAGAAAATTTTCCAGAATACTGGTTATAGTCAAAGCCCCACAGAACACAACGTCCTGCCCTGTGTGTACACGGTGCCTTGTGTGAGGTGCCGACCTCTGAAACGAAGGTCAGTGGATGAAAAACAGAACCCCGTAAGATGACGCAAAACCCTGGACTGCTTGCAATGGCAAGATTGACCCACAGCTGTGACAAGGGAAGTATGTGAGCAGGCAACTCAGCTGCGGTGAAAATGGAAAAAGGTATTAATAGCAGAACAGAAATTCCATTCCGGGGGCCGGCAGGTGGCGTGCTGGTTAAGGGCGCTGGACTCCCCCACATGGCCGACCATGGTTCGAGTCCTGGACCTGGCAGCTTGCCTTCTTGCTCCCTCCCCACACTCTGTCCCTCTCAGGTCAAATTTAAAAATAAATACAATAATTCTTTAAAAAGAAAAGAAATTCCATTCTGCAGATACATTAGGTTAAACTGCCTAAAATACCGTTTCCAGTTAACGGTCACAGTGTACTGACACCGAGGCACGACATTACTAACTACTTCCTCCGGCTTAAGTAAGTCACTTCCTCTTTGAACTAACACCACAGACCAAATACTCCGAGAGTTCTGTCGAGAGGTAGGAGGCTACGCTTCTAATGTAGCTCTTCCAGGGCAGAAAACTAAACAGCTGGGAGCCGCAGCCACGCTCTGTGGAAGAGTGGGTGATGGCTGCTGTCTCTTTCAACCCTAGCCCACCTCCGCGACCTGTGACGTTCTCAGCTGCGGTCTCCTGACCTCCCCTCCCAGCCCTCCACCCTGAGGCGTACGTAAGCATTGCCTCATGTCTGTGTGCTCCACAGAAACAGCAGGCCTCCCCCCAGCAGCAAAACAACCAAAAGCCTCCACTGGAGACAAATGTCAAATGTTATTTAAACAACCAACCAGGGACCAGCAATTAGCGTAATGGCTATGTCACTGGGTTCCCATGTAGTCGACTGTGGTTTGAGTCCCAGACCCAGGAGCTTAAACTCATGCCGGGCGCGTGTGCGTGCGTGCCCAAGATCCCAAGAGGAGAATGGAGGAGAAGGGATTGCGGCGTGGCCATCCCCCCTGGGGGGGGGATTTCTCACTTTCTGTCTCTCTGGCTCTCTCACACGCCCTATAGAAAATAACTCAAAAAGTCGACATGACTTATAGCGAAAAACCTCTCCAAAAAAAAAAAAAAACAAACAACCAACCAACCAACCTCTGGCCTAATTTGTGATGACTGCCATACAGCAAAGTTTCTTTTTCTTTTAAAAAAGAATGTTTTTTAACTTTATTTATTTATTTACTTACTTATTTTAATTTGACCAGAGAGGGACAGAGTGAGAGAGAGAGGTAAAGTGAGAAAGGAAGCTGTCGGGTCTGGGACTCGAACTGCGGTCGGCCATGTGGGAGTCCAGTGCCCTCAACCACCACGTCATCTGCCGGCCCCGTGAGTTTCAAATTCATTAATTTACCTGGTTGTCCCTAACATAGGCAACCTGAATTTAGGACCAAAATATCTCCCAAACCCTAGTCTTTCTGCCCTCTGAGGCTTTGGTTGTTTTTGGTTGTTGTTGTGTGTTTGTTTAGTTGTTGCAGCAGGGCAAGTGCCCTTACAGGAGAGAGACAGTAAGAGGAAAAGGGAGAAATCACCCCCCGGGGGAGGGCCACACCGCAATCCCTTCTCCTCCATTCTAGGCATTTTTGGCATGCATGCACATGTACCCGGCATCAGTTTCAAGCCTCTGAAGGAGACTCGAACTACGGTTGGTCATGTGGGAATCCAGCTTTGTAACCATCTCGCCATCTGCTGGTCCTACGTCCAGTATGATTTTCAAGCTACCTAGTCTGGGACTTGAACCGGAGTCCAATGTCTTAACCACCATGCACCACCTGCTGGTCCCCTGGAGTCTACTGGGTTGAGGGCACCTATCTGCTTACATGTGTGGCAAGCTCCTTTTTATTTTTTTAAAAGCTCTTGGCCTTTTAAACATTATTATTATTATTATTACTATTACTATTTTAATTTGACCAGAGAAAAAGAAAAAAAAAATGAGAAAGAAAACTGCCAGGTCCAGCACTTGAATCGTGACTGACCATGTGGAAATCCAGTGCCTGAACCACCATGCCACCTGTCAGCCCCGTGGCAAACTTCTTGATACTTCAAAGGGCCAGCTGTCACCCAGCCATGGAGCCACCATCACTGCCCACCTCCGAGCTCCATCCCAGGCCTCCACACTCTGCCAGACAAGTCATCTTCCAACTCATCTGCTCACTACTTCCCTTTTTAAAAATTAACTCCCTTAGTCATTTAAGTCTACAAAACTTTTCACAATTTAAATAGTGGCCAAAGATCATTTCCAGAATATTATAAATATTAGCTATTTAAATTACTAGTCACGGGAACCAGCAGGTGGTGTGCTAGTTAAGCCACTGGACACCCCCACATGGCTGACCACAGTTCGGGTCCCAGACCTGATGGCTTGCTTTCTCACTTTCCTTCCCTTTCTCTCCCTCTGACCCTTTCTGGTCAAATAAAATAAGATAAATAAGTAAATAAATTAAGTTAAACAAAATAATTCTAAAACAAAACAAAAAGGCTGATGAGGGGGCCAGCAGGTGTCATGGTGGTTAAAGTGCTGGAATTCCCACATGGTCAACTGTGATTTGAGTTCTAAACCTGGTGATTTGCTTTCTCTCTCTCTCTCTCTCTCTCTCTCTCTCTCTCCCTCATGCTCTCTTTCTCTGGCAAAATTCATGTGAAAAAATAATAAATAAATAAATGATTCTTAAAAAAAAAAAGAAACTTTGATCAATCCAATTCACTGATCAAATTACTTTTGGATTATGAAGTTGACAAGTCAATGAGTGATTTAAAAGTGTCAGAGAAATTGTTGTCCTGGTCCTACTTAAAATTCTGTCGTCCCAGTGAAAATCACACAACTACCAGGACAAAATTTGTTTTTTTATTCTCTGTCAGTCTTCATCCTCTATAAACCAGCCTCAGGTCTGTGCCACTGACAGAAGTTATTCTGTTTCCTTGGGCTGAACAACTTTTTATTTTAAATGATTTTATCACGTGTATCTTTTTTAATTTTTTTTTTTTTTTGAGAGCTCTTTGCTGTAGGGCACGTGCGCTCACCAGAAAGACAGAGAGAGACAGAGAGACAGAAAGCAAGAAATCACCCCCCAGGGAGGGATGGCCATGCCACAAGTAAATAATTATTTAAAAAATAAGTATATAAACTAAAATTAGTCATAAGACCCTATTAAAACTTTAATTTTTTCCTTGAATTGGGTCTTGTATCTATGAATAAATACTAGTTATGACTAGAATGAGTCAAGGTTCAACGATAACTTATTTCTAAGCTTGCATTTATCCATGTAAATGCTAAGAAACTCTGGTCACTTGAACGAGTAGACATATTGTATGAAATTCTCTAACTCAGGACCAGCAGTTGATGTAATGGCTATGTTGCTGGACTCAACCATGGTTCAAGTCCCAGACCCGATGGCTTAAACTCACACCTGGTGTGTGTGCATGTG